TCAATACAGGTTCAATGTGTACTTTTTCTGCCACCTCATATTGGTTGTAGTAATTACATGTTCTCTTGACTAATGTGTTTTTGTTTTTCTTTAGATTCTTTGCCTGCGTACGAGACTAGTGACTGCAAGGCTCTAAGCAACCCAGTGGAGGCAATTATTATTGCAGAGGTAAAGATAACTTTTTAATCTATCTGATCTAGTGAGGCTTGCTCTCTCGTTATTCTACATGACTGAGCCTTTTTTCATATTCTTCTCTTGTTATCTTTTGATAGGTCACCAAAGCTCTGGTGCTTAGAGGGGTTGAGGTGCAAGATATTGGCATCATTACTCCATACAACTCTCAGGCCAATCTCATTCGGGGAGTTGTTTCTGATCCCGTGGAGATACATACCATTGACAAATATCAGGTTTACAGTTGACCTTATATTTTATCAATTTATTAGTATGCCATGGCAATGAGAGTTGAATTACTCATTCTCATAGTACAAGCAAGACAAGTTATCACAGGATCGTTGAACCGATCTGCTGTATTTGCAACATCCAGATGCGTGTTAGTTGTGTATCATCTAATTATTGTTGCTGTGTATCTACAGGGAAGAGATAAGGACTGCATATTGGTGTCTTTTATGAGGTCTTGTGCAAATCCAAGGAATAATAATTCATCCTCTCTGCTTGGAGACTGGCACAGAATTAATGTAGCCCTCACACGTGCCAAGGTTCGGATTACCTTCCGTCTCTCTAAAATGACTCATGAAAGTATTGCAAGATTCTTAGGGAAATAAATGATACATCATATCACTAATGCTGGCAATTTTGTTAAACAGAAGAAGTTGATAATGGTGGGTTCTTGTGCAACACTTTCGAAGGTGCCACTGTTAAAGCTCCTCATTGACAAGGTTGAAGAGCTTTCTGGCTTGTTGATTGTTTCCAAAAAGGATATTAATCATCAGCTTCTACTGAAGAGATGCTCCCACTCCGTTTGACCTTCTTTTCCTTGTAATTTGTGCTTTCCATGTAATTGGTGCATTTTGCAATTAAATGCCGGAATATTTATATAATAATATAATCACGTTTCTGTGTGCACCAGCTAAGTTTTTCTCTCATCAATCATCATTGTCATCATTTTGGAGTTGCTCATTTTTGTTACCGAATTTATGGTGTTACTTCCATCTAAAAAAAATGACATTATGTCAGATGATACCGAATTTATGGTGTTACTTCCATCTAAAAAAATTTGATTACACACCATTATTATTATTATACTTTTTACATTGTTATCGATGATGCATTGTTAGCTTATAATATTTGTAAGAATATTAGTAATTAAACCGATGAAAATTAACTTTTTAAAATAGAGAATGGATTTCTAGTAGTAATTATGAATTTGTTTTTATTTTATTTTAAGATGGGATTTTTTAAACTCGTGAGATCGTATGCAATGGGATTTTGTAACAGATAAGAGATAAACTCTAGATTTATGCTATGGATTTTATAACGCGATAGGAAAAAGGAAAACAGATTCTAACACAATTAATCTGCCGATTTTGTTGCCTTATCAATATTGTCCAATAATTACTACATATAGGATACATTTAATGTATTTGGCGGGAAAACATTTCTAAAATTGTAAAAAGGTTATTCTTTTTATATAATGATAGATTTTTTGCTAAGATTTTTTCACTTTTCATGGTCCTTTGGAAAATAAAAATGTCTTTAATATCGATATGAAGGTCATTGAGGGTTAGTATACACAAAATTCTTGTATGATCTAGTTTATTTGTTAGAGCATCTCCAATGCTTAATGTTGTAGTGGTAAATTACATTCCACATCAACACATTTATTAATGTGACAACTTTTTATTCTCCAAGGTACAATGTGATTACAAATGTTGTGGTGATATGGACATAATTAATGTATACAATGTAGAGAGGAACGTGGTTCATCCACATTCTCCTCCACACTCTATCTAGCCAATGAAAAGAAGAGAGAGAAATATTATTACCATTTTCAAACTATTTAATTATTTAATTATTTAATTAATTTTATTAATTTATATTAAAATTTTAATATTTGTTAAGTAGATAATATTGTAATTAGACTACATTGTGCATTGAAGATGATTTTTTAATTTAATAATTGTGAAGTCAACATTTGTCCTACATGGTTCACAATCTATTTAATATTTTGACATTTGTCAAAATTTATCCAATAACAACATTAGAGCATTGGAGATGCTCTTAGGCAGGTGCATTACAAATAAAAATATACATAAAAGATCAATTTAAAATTGTAAATGTCTATTAAGAAATATTGATCTCTATCTTAAACTTGTCAAGCAGTAACCATGTTATTTAGCTTCATATTAGCTTAATATACAATTATTGACATTATGTTTGCAGTTATTACTTATTCGTTGACATTATTGACAATTATTGACATTATGTTTGCAATTATTTAGTGGAAAGTCTGAATTTTCCTCTTTTGCTTTGAGTGGAAAGTCTGAAGATTATAGTTTCAAAAAAAAAAAAGGTAATCCGAACTAGGGTTTTGATATATTACTACGCTTCTCAGACTGATCAAAAGTTTCTAAGACTGAAGCCACTAAAAGCACAATCTCAGTTACCTTTCAGTAGATAACCATTGGATAAGCAAAACTAGATAAATTTGTTCTGCCTTTGAATCGTTTCACTCAGACATAGTTAATCTATTTTTTTCTTTTTTTCTTAAACATAAATGAAGTAAATCAACTGCTATAATCTCAAAGCTTAACTTATATACATGTCAACTGATAAAGAAACAAATGCATACTTAAAACACTGGTCACAGAGACAAATTTAGCCACAAGTCAAGAAAGTACAAAATTCAATATCCGTAACATTGCAAAACAAACTTATCTGGCTCACAAATATTGAAATAGTACTAAAATCTAAAAGAAAAGGAGGAAATGGAAAGTGTGCTCAACAACATTCAAAATTCTGGTTTCAAATTGCTGAGTGCCACGTTGGGGCCCTCAAAAGTGTGCTCAACACATGACTGGCATTTAATCAAATACTATAATTTCTTCAGAAATATCCAAGACCTCCTCAATTTCGACTTCCTTGGCTTGATATTCCTCTTCTTGGTCACTAGCTTCCCCATCACGCAGCTTCTGCCTCTCCAACTTCTCTTGTTCGTGCAGTCGCTTCCACTCACCGACCCACCTCTCCCACTCTTCCTTGAGAGTCCTTCTCTTCTCGCGGTCCNTGCTCGCTCAAAAGCATCGACACATCTTGGTCCTCCGCTTCATACTTTTTGCTGTATTTCTTCAAGTTCTTGGCTATCTCTTCTTCCTTCTCTGGGCTCAAGAATGTTGGGGGTCTTGGACGCCACAAGAACTGAGAAATCATATCACATATATATGTAGAGAAGATTAGCAGGGCATATACCAATCAATCTAGTACTATGTTGATAGCCGTTCAGATATATAACTCACTTGGAAAAAATGATCCTTGAGTATTCTGTACAGCAGTTTTCCGCTGAAGGACCAAACATTAAAACCATTCTCCATCTCATGAACAGATGTAACGGCCGTCACAACATACCTACCGAGGGATGCACAAAACAAAAGATTAGGCATGTCGAAAACCAAAACTATTATTATCATTTAAACAACAATAAACAGAATAACAAAAATTCTGTTTCTATAAAGAAGCAAGGGAAGAAAAGTTCTAAAGCACAATCGTTTTTCAATGTTTGAATAGGTTTTTGAAGGGACAATTATATTTCAGAGTACAACTATTACCTCCCAGTTGGATCCCATTCCACATCAGTCGCCATGAAATGCTCACTCTGAGCCATGGTCTCAAGCTCTTCAACATTGTAAAATTCAAGTTGCCCGTTAAAGCCCTTTAACCCTGCCAGTATAATGAACCGGCCAGCTGGTGACCAGTAAAGAGCATTTGCCTGCTTGCCTTTGAGAGTAATGAGTTTGGAAACGCGACCAGTGTTACTACCACTGCGCATTGTGTAGAAACTCACATCAGGCCTCGGACTATCACCATGTATAACTGCAAACCTGTGACCTTTTGGCTCCCAGGCAAATGCTATAATCTTATCATTCTTATTCTCAAGCTCCAGAACTTCAATGGGTATGTCCCGTTCTTTGATCCTGAAAAGCTCAAACCCGGTATATGTGCTCTTCTTGGTTTTCGTGTATCGATCAACTTTAACTGCCAGATAATCTCCATTACTTTGCCAGTACATTTTACAATCACTAACACTGAAGAGATTCTTTTGCCTCAACTCTTCCTTGCTTGGGATTTGCACAAGACTCACCTGGTAAACGGGAAAAAAAAGAAACATAAGTGCTCACAGTAAAGGAAAAGATGAGAGAAAAACAGACCAGTTGCACTTTAGTTTAGAGCTCACCCTTGCAGGTTGATTTCCTCCACCCAGTTCAGGGACAAAGAGCGCAAGAATGGGATCAGTAGGTGACCAGTTGAAGTCAATGACATTTTCAACCTTTATAGATTTCTTGTCAATAAGAGTGAACGTTTCAGTTTCATAAACAGAGACAACATTTTTTCCAATTCTAGCAAAGTACTTATCATCTTTTCCACCACCCCATCTGGAAATAAAAAAGTTCTCAATCCATCAGAGGGCATCAAAATCTGATTAAAGAGCCATCATTACATGACTGTACATCAAGAGAAAGGGGAAGTGAGGGAATAACATCAAATTGTATACCACCTGAAGACGGGCCATGACACGCCACTTACACCTCCAGTTCCAACGGCAGATGAAAATTCATCTGCGCTCCCTTTGAAATCCCTCATAACTTTTCCAGTTCTCACATCAAAGATGTTTATGAGAACTCTCTGAGAAGAAAATCTATTTTAATAAGAAAAATAAAAGTAGCACTCTATTACAATGATATTCAAAGCAGAATTAGTTTTACATGAGTATCACGAGGATTGCTTGGCTCATGGCTGCTATAAGTCACCAAAAATCTCTCGCCAGGTGAAAAATCAATCAGTTTAACCTGCAAACCAAATCAGTAAGAAAGAACTACAAGAAGTGAAGCTGTATGAAACACCCGAGGTCAAATAACAACCTGGGGATGAGCATATCGCATCAAACGATTAAAAGTAGTTGCACCACCCCAAATAGCTGCACCTTGCCTGTGCACTGTGGCCAAGTAAGTACCCAATGGTGACCACTGCACAAAACTATCTGTCCAGTTCTGCATTGAAATAAATTAACTTGGCTATATTAAATGTTCCCAATTAACGAAAATATGTACCTAATGCAAGCACTGGTATTTCATGCTTGGACACAGAACAAGTACAGCACAAAGAATTCAAATTCACTTACAGTTCTTCTGTAAACAGGATCCGTCTTCATTTGTCTGGCATCATTCCATAAGACCTCAGTATCTAAGCCGGCACGTATAACAAATTGATCTCTTGCTTTTTCATCAGTAAGCCATTTTTGCAGATTCTCCTGTAAATTATTGACAAAACATTCTAGTTAAAATTGTTGATATGTGAAAGGATATATTACTCCTTTTCCATTCTGCTTCCTGGTTCTAAAACAATGTTTTATTTCTTGACTCCCTGTGTGTAGTGGTGGTGGGAATGTGTGTGCGTGTGTGCGTGTGTTTGTGTGTGTGTGTTGGGAGATGGGGACATCTGAGAGAGAGAGAGAGAGAGCCCACCCCTGGAGTATATGGCTTGGTTTCTGGAGGCGCCCACTCCTCTGGAACTTTCATAAACTTTTCAATGTCCTCAAACATGTTAACAGAAAATATGTGGGATCTATCCAACTTGTACCCATTTGTCTTTTCCTTAGCTAATTCAGCTTCCTACATTCCATATAAATGTGTTCAGCCAATAGGAAACCAACATGGCCCAGGAAACAAAAATGGCATGACTTACCTGAGGAGTGTTAAACTCCACGAAGCAATATCCTAGGGTTTTCTGAGTGTCGGGGTCAACAGGCATCCAAAGCCCACCCTCCTTAATAACCCCAATCTGACTGTAAATTTTCCGAACTACGCCTTCCAATTTCTCGAATTTCTCCTTAGGCACCACTGGCAGATTATCTGCCACAATGATGTTCCCGAACCCTTCTTCTAATTCTANTCATAAACTTTTCAATGTCCTCAAACATGTTAACAGAAAATATGTGGGATCTATCCAACTTGTACCCATTTGTCTTTTCCTTAGCTAATTCAGCTTCCTACATTCCATATAAATGTGTTCAGCCAATAGGAAACCAACATGGCCCAGGAAACAAAAATGGCATGACTTACCTGAGGAGTGTTAAACTCCACGAAGCAATATCCTAGGGTTTTCTGAGTGTCGGGGTCAACAGGCATCCAAAGCCCACCCTCCTTAATAACCCCAATCTGACTGTAAATTTTCCGAACTACGCCTTCCAATTTCTCGAATTTCTCCTTAGGCACCACTGGCAGATTATCTGCCACAATGATGTTCCCGAACCCTTCTTCTAATTCTAAGGCCTCCTCATCTTTAAAATCTTCATCGTCACTAGAAAACAATTATCCACGCAACAATCATCATCAATCGACGCAGAAACACAAAAAAAAAAAAGATCAAAAAAAGATAAAATGAAGAAAGAAAAAAATCAATACAGAATCATCTCAGCGAATCCATACCTGATGACGCCGAAGTCTTCTCCGGCGGGTAGGCGAATGGAATCAAGGTCGAGGGAGGATAGGTCGACGTTGAGGCGAGCGGCAGTGGCTCGTATATCTTCCACGACGGCCATAGCTGATGTAGATTCGTCTGTAGATGCGTGCGTATGTGGGAAAGCCGAGAAGATGAATAATAGTATAGATAAAGCGCTAGGTTTTTATTCTCATGACTGGGCCGTTAGAATGGGCTTGTAGAATTGTCAGCTTAATTGGCCCATTTTATATAGGCCACGAAACATAAAGAATGTGTCATGGGGTGCAATTTCCTCATAAAATAGGCTCACTTAGAAAATTTTAGCGGCTTAGGCATATGTCACAAAATTACACTTGAGCAAAAATAAGCACATAAAGGACTTTTTTTTATTTTAGCAAATAAGCACACTTAAGTTTTGATCGAAGACTCCTCGTCCTCTCCTCTTCTGTTATGTTGCTCATTCGACTGGGCATATTGCTCCTGCTTAAGTCGAGGTACTTGCTCCTGTTGAGGTGGCTGTTCAAGTCGAGCTGCCACGACTTTCACTATCATCCTCTGTAGTTCACCTCGAGTGACGGTCGTCATCTGATCCTCAGGTTGAGGTTGTGTCTGGGCTCCTTCTCGTTCTGGCATTCCTTCTAGCTACATCCAGTAACTCGAGTTGTCTCCCTCAACTCTCGTTCCCCGATTCCAGAGCTTGGGTTCAACGTTTGGTTGGTCCCCTCTTGGGTTAACACTTGAATCTTTACCCCAGGCGGGGTAATCGGGGTCTCCTCTCCTCCACGCAAATCTGGAGGCGCGTGCCCCACAAACGGTGGTATTGCCAGCATAGAAATCACAGGTTTAGGGCTAGGAACCACTAGAGGTCTCCTATCTGTCTATGTCCCTCTGAAATCTTCACTCAAATTCCTCTGTATACTCTCTTTCTCAGCCATGTCAGACAATCGGATGTTGCAAGTTTTCTAGTGAGAGGGATTACTTTTTCATTTCGTATAAAATTTTTTGTTCCCACTATTTTGTCAAGAAATAATTAAATAATAAATATCAACTATTAATATACATTTTTAACAAATTCACTATTTTATCAACTGTTATTTTTTTGCCATTTTTCAGCTAACTATGGTAGCATAATATTGCATTTCACATTAATTAAATTATAAACGTATTTTTTAAATACAATATTATGTTATATAATAGTTACTAATTACTATTAAATTAACTAATTATAACTCACACTAGATTATATATAGAAATTACATAAGTATAAAAAAAATTTATTGTAAAAGCTTTTCTTCAAAATTGTTTATTTAAAACCAATACTATCTTTTTCATCTCATTAATCGTTTTTTTTTTTATAAATTAACTAATTGATTTTAACGTCATAGCCACACCCTTTAAAATCGCATAAATAATAATAATAATAATAATAATAATAATAATAATAATAATAATAATAATAATAATAATAATGTTTCAAATAATTATTGGGTCAAATTCTCTCTAAACTACAAAAAGTTACATTATTCATTACATGTTATACAATCAATATAGTGATTCATCTGTAATTAAAATTGTTTTATATTGTTCACTTTTGTTTGTCCCATTTTTGTTGCGTTTTTCGTTATTGTTTTGTCTTTCTTTTTTCCCCGCTTTAGGTCTTTTAGTTGGTTTTTGGTCGTTTTTGTAGTTTATTTTGTGTTTTACTCTATTTTGGTCTTTTATGTGTTTTTGTGTGTTTTTCTGATTTTTTCTTCTTGTTTTTGGTGTGCAGGCTGGAAGCCCCGTGAGGAAGAGATTTTGCCCGAAAATTGAACGGGCAATCATGGTTGCATAGACGGATTTGTTGGCGATATATAAGAAGAAGCGGAGCTCAATTTCGAGCTTGGACGAGTCCAAATGAGCCCAAAACGCGAAGTCGCACGAAGCACATCTTTGATGTGTCTTTGGTGTGCTGGACATAAGCTTTGAGAGAATTGGACTTCAAGAATAATTTGACCATTCAAGCATCATTGAATAGAGGGGTTCGTTAGCGACGTGTGGGAAAAAACGGACCTCAATTCCGAGTTCGGACGAGCCCAAACGAACCCGAGAAGCAAAGTCCAGCAGGCTGCCAGAGCCTTAGCGGCGCTACACGGTACTGGCTCGAACGGCTAAGGCACCTTAGCGGCGCTAAGGCTCCCTGCAAGTCCCAAAATTGTATAAGACCCAAAAACTCGTTTTCTTCTCCATTCTTTCACCATCAGCTCGAAGGGGGAGGAACCCTAGGTCCAAAAATCGCCTCTACCCTTCATTTTTCTCCTTCTTCTTCCTCTTCTCCTTCCTCTCCTTCCTCCTCTTCTTCTTCTTCTTCTTCTTCGTTTTTCCTCTTCTCTTCATCTTTCTTTTCCATTTTTCTTCTTCTTTTTATTAGTATTCAAGGATTAAGCTTGTAATTCAAATTCAACACTTGGAATTGTGATTTATTTTAAGTTCTTCTCTTTATTTTTAATTCATGAATAATGGTTGAATTGAGAGAGATGATGGATTGTGTTGAATTGATATTACTTAGCTAATTCTTATTGCTAGGGATAGGGGATGATTGTTCTCGTTTAACGTGTATTTGTCGGGCTTGGATTGTCCGTTCTTGTGCGGTTGATTTGATTACGAATTGATGAAATCTTGTTTGATTGATTGATATAATCGTAGAGTGACACTTCGATCTTGCAATTGGAAACAATTGAATGTTGATTAGTCGAGTTAGGGTTTTGTTGATTCTATATGATTAGTCGATTAACTCTCTTCTAATTTAATTAGCGACTGTTAGAACCGAAAGGAGAGACGTAGTAGACTTAGGCTCGAATGAGGTAGATGATTTCGTAATTGAATAGTCTATAGGTTTTGGATTGAAATATGTGCTTGTCGACGACTCGTCCCTTGTTACGAATAGTTATTGGGATTGGGATAATTGGCTTGTGTCGTATGCTCAAGTTTGTTCGTCTATGTTCAATCCCTTGTTACGAAGAGTTATTGGGAACGAACCGCTAGATGCTTCAATCCCTTGTTACGAAGAGTTATTGAGAACGAACCGCTAGATGCTTAAGCGAGAGCGTCAATCTAAAATAGAATGATTAATGTCCCGGTGTGCAAATAGAATTTGAATTAATTATCCCCGACTCCCTAGCTTCTTTATCGTTGTTTCGTTTATATTTTTAGGTAGATTATTGTTTATTTTATTTCTTAGTTAATAATTATTCAACCCCCTTATTTGATTAGAATGTTTAGGATTTTATTTCTTTTTGTGTGAAATCAATACCGAAGCTAAATTCCGAACCGCCTTCCTTGTGAGATCGACCCGGGGAACGAATCCTTCGATTCGGTACTCGGTAAAACTAACAATTTGTTACAACAAATTTGGCGCCGTTGCCGGGGAAGGCAAGTAGGATATTTAGTTTTAGTGTTGATCTTATTTTCTGTGTTTCTCTTTATTTTTGTATTTTTAGATTTTTTGTTCTTTCTTTGCTCTTTGTTTTTCTCTTTTGTTTTTGTTTTTGTTTTTGTTTTTGTTTTTGTCTTCTTCTCTTTTTCGTGGCTACGTGTGGTTGTTCTGTTATGGTGTGCAGGTAATATGAACTTCAATCACGTGTACTCCTTCCTGCACTACCTCTCTTAGAACAATTAGCCGAGCTATTCCGCCGGGTACCACACCCAATCTCATTCGTACTCTTCTGAGCTGTGCTGGAACCATTTTCCGGTTGAGCAAACTTATGAGTCCCACGAGTTTAACGAGAAGCTCGACCAGATTCTTGATTTCATAGTCCAAATTAGCTCGAGAAGAAGAGGCCGCCTACAATGCCAAACTTGATCTCATCCTAGATCGATTGATGGCCCAAGCAAAACGAGAGGAGAAGATTGAGCTCAGATGTGCCAGTTTGAGCGAGCAAGTGGAGAATCTAGCAAGGTGCATCGACTCTATCGAGTCCCAGGCAGATGATCCCAAGGTTGTGGACCCCCGCCCAGCACCCTTGCACTTCAATGAGCTCGGGGATGACTCTTCGGGGTACAATGCCAAGCTTGACCTCATCCTCGAATGGATGATGGCCCGAGCAAACCGAGAAGGAGAGATTGAGCTCGGGTGTGCTCGATTGAGCGCTCAAATGGAAAATCTGACAGCACGTCTCGACTCTATCGAGTCAAAAGTCGACAACTCCCATCTTATGGTTGGTGCCCAAACGTGTTTTCCGATGCACATGTGTGAGACCGAAGAGGAAGATGATGCTCTCCAGTGGGACGACGATGTTTCGGAAGAGGAGATTCATGGACTTGATCATGTCACCATTTCTCGGGTCCCTCCTTCTGCTACCGAGATGGAGCATTCACCTTCGGAGGTTGATGACAGAGCTCGGGTGGGAAAAGCTCTATGTCAACTACTGGGGATTGCTCGTGCCCACGCCTGGTTCCTCCAGAATACAGCCACCCGGATCCACCGTGCCAGCCTTCTCGCCAAACTTCCCATACTGCCGCTTCTCGAAAATACGAAGGCGTGGCACGACCGTCACTTCTTTCTGGATCCTGGTTGATACATACGCAGGTTTCGTCAAGCTAATGACGTTAAACAAGCGCTTCTTCGGAGGCAACCCAAGTGATTTATTGTTTTATTAGATATTTTTCTTTATGCTTTTTAGTTTTATCTTTGAATAATGGGAGTTTTGGAGTTCTGTGTTTTTCTTGGCAGGTACTAGTCGCGAGCTCGAGTAGGAGAATTGAGTTAAATGCTGAGTGTCGAGGTTCTGGGCTAAGCATAGGCGTTCGGCTTGCACATGGATGCTTATTCTCCTCGAGGCATCTACGGTTTGCACACCCTTTTCTTTTTTCTTTTTTTATCCTTTTGAGTTTGCTTTCTCCTTCTGTCCATTCTTTTGAGTCTTGTGTTCTTGCAGTAGTTGCTAGTATTGGTTCGCTATATGAAAGTGCTAGGTCCTTTATTTGACTTCCTGTTTCGTGTTGAAGCAATGAAGACATTGCCTCATTTTAAGTGTGGGGGAGTTTATTTGAATTTTGCATGCTTATGTGGTGGACCGGTCTAGTCTTAGTTTTTTGTGTTCTTGAGCATGTGATATTGGTGAATTTTAGGATTTGTTGGTGAATGTTTGATGAAATTGGGAAGTTGTGATGATGGTTGTGTTGATCATTGCCTCGATATTTGTTTGATTGTCTTGAGTGACATTTATTTACCTTGTGAGGTTTTGATCCTTACTTTTCTTTCTTGTGAGATATTGGTCATATTCTTAAATGATTAGAACTTGCCTTGAGTTTGATTGGAAGGAGTCGATTAGAGTTTAAAATTGCGAAAGTGATTGAGGCGTTTTGTTGTTAGCTCATTTTTGCCTTGTTCTTTGGTTCTTAACATTATTTTCCCTAGTAGCCCGTTTGAGCCTTGAGCCGTTTCTTGTCAGTCATAATATAATGTATTTTGTTGATTGATTTTGTGATGATTGGTGAAAATGGGTCGTTGTTGAATGAGGTGAATTGGAGTTGAATTTCTATTGCTTGACCTATTTAAAAAAAAAAAACGAGAGCTCACAAGACGATTTGAATGGATTCTGCTCCTCTTACCAGTCGATTCACATTGACGGGTAATGAGCATTGGGAAACTACTGTAGGACACTTGGATGATCTTTCACACCTACAGAATGTTGTCATTTGGATTCGATCTTATTCGGAAAAAGTTACTCTCCAAATGAAAAAAAAAATAAAAAATTAAAAATAAAAAATAAAAAAGGAAAGAAAAGAAATGGGTCGAGTATTGCAATTCGATTAGAGCAATTAGGTGTTGTGTGTGGTGTTTTGGTTGGGGGTAGATGTGTTGTCATGTTTATTCCGGATGAGTGGCGGAGAACTCGAGAAATCTATTTGCTCGAGAATTGTGATTGTTTATTTGAGCTTCTTTTCCTGCATATATCCTTACCTTGAACCAAATAGCCTACATTATAACCCGTGAAGTCCTCTTGATTCGCAAATTTTGAGCATTGATTGTTTCCGAGTAATTTAGACGATTGGCAAGCATATGTTAAAACAGGAATATTGACCAATCTGAGGGATCCTATCATATATTCATGTAAAAGAATGAGTGAGGCATTTCCTACTATTTCTGTATTTGAGAGTTTGTCATTTCGAGGCCAAATTTATATTTGAGGCATATGGTTTCACAGTCGTTGGAATTCTACCTGATTGAATTGGACATTTTTAAACTCTTCTTGTTTGAAACTGTATTCATGCTCATGTCTTGTTTTCTTTTCTTTTTGTTCGGGACGAACAAAGGTTTAAGTGTGGGAGAATTGTTTGTCCCATTTTTGTTGCGCTTTTCGTTATTGTTTTGTCTTTATTTTTCCCCGTTTTAGTTCTTTTAGTTGGTTTTTGGTCGTTTTTATAGTTTATTTTGTGTTTTACTCTATTTTGGTCTTCTATGTGTTTTTGTGTGTTTTTCTGGTTTTTTCTTCTTGTTTTTGGTGTGCAGGCTGGAAGCCCCATGAGGAAGAGATTTTGCCCGAAAATTGAACGGGCAATCATGGTTGCATAGATAGGTTTGTTGGCGATATATAGGAAGAAGTGGACCTCAATTTCGAGCTTGGACGAGTCCAAACGGGCCCAAAACGCGAAGTCGCACGAAGCACGTCTTTGGTGTGTCTCTGGTGTGCTGGTTATAAGCTTTGAGAGAATTGGACTTCAAGAATAATTTGGCCATTCAAGCATCATTGAATAGAGGGGTTCGTTAGCGACGCGTGGAAAAAAACGGAACTCAATTCCGAGTTCGGACGAGCCCAAACGGACCCGAGAAGCAAAGTCCAGCAGGCTGCCAGAGCCTTAGCGGCGCTAAGGCACACAGGATAACGGCGCTACATGGTACTGGCTCGAACGGCTAAGGCACCTTAGCGGCGCTAAGGCCCCCTGCAAGTCCCAGAATTGTATAAGAACCCCAAAAACTCGTTTTCTTCTCATTCTTTCACCATCAGCTCGAAAGGGGAGGAACCCTAGGTCTGAAAATCGCCTCCCCCTTCATTTTTCTCTTTCTTCTTCCTCTTCTCCTTCCTCTTCTTCCTCCTCTTCCTCTTCTTCTTCTTCTTCTTCTTCTTCTTCGTTTTTCCTCTTCTCTTCATCTTTCTTTTCCATTTTTCTTCTTTTTTTTATTAGTATTCAAGGATTAAGCTTGTAATTCAAATTCAACACTTGGAATTGCGATTTATTTTAAGTTCTTCTCTTTATTTTTAATTCATGAATAATGGTTGAATTGAGAGAGATGATGGATTGTGTTGAATTGATATTACTTAGCTAATTCTTATTGCTAGGGATAGGGGATGATTGTTCTCGTTTAACGTGTATTTGTCGGGCTTGGATTGTCCGTTCTTGTGCGGTTGATTTGATTACGAATTGATGAAATCTTGTTTGATTGATTGATATAATCGTAGAGTGACACTTCGATCTTGCAATTGGAAACAATTGAATGTTGATTAGTCGAGTTAGGGTTTTGTTGATTCTATATGATTAGTCGATTAACTCTCTTCTAATTTAATTAGCGACTGTTAGAACCGAAAGGAGAGACGTAGTAGACTTAGGCTCGAATGAGGTAGATGATTTCGTAATTGAATAGTCTATAGGTTTTGGATTGAAATACGTGCTTGTCGACGACTCGTCCCTTGTTACGAATAGTTATTGGGATTGGGATAATTGGCTTGTGTCGTATGCTCAAGTTTGTTCGTCTATGTTCAATCCCTTGTTACGAAGAGTTATTGGGAACGAACCGCTAGATGCTTCAATCCCTTGTTACGAAGAGTTATTGAGAACGAACCGCTAGATGCTTAAGCGAGAGCGTCAATCTAAAATAGAATGATTAATGTCCCGGTGTGCAAATAGAATTTGAATTAATTATCCCCGACTCCCTAGCTTCTTTATCGTTGTTTCGTTTATATTTTTAGGTAGATTATTGTTTATTTTATTTCTTAGTTAATAATTATTCAACCCCCTTATTTGATTAGAATGTTTAGGATTTTATTTCTTTTTGTGTGAAATCAATACCGAATCTAAATTCCGAACCGTCTTCCTTGTGAGATCGACCCGGGGAACGAATCCTTCGATTCGATACTCGGTAAAAACAACAATTTGTTACAACAACTTTTACGAATGACATTAAAAAATATGAGAAGTTTTAATTTTAAGTATTATATACATAAATAACTTTATAACAATTTATTTACATTTGTGCATGTGCACATGATCGATTACCAGTTCATTATTAACTGCATGTGGATAGAAGGAATTTAATTGTGATAGAAAGTAAATTTCAAATGCTTGCATCCTCACAATCTTACAAGAGATCAACTCACAGGCTGCAGTTTGTGGCATACATTATCTTGTTACAGTTTTGTACAAGGAGTATACTTGGTGTTCATGGAAAGTTCAGTCCATATGACCAACTGCAGTCACAAATTTAGGTGTTAAGAACTTTGGAAAATCCTTCAGTCAATACCCAAGCTTGAATATGGTTCAAATCCACCCTGAAAAATAAGAATAAAAGTTGGAGATTCTCCCTTGCAACAAATCCAAACAGTACTGCCTCAACAGAATATTTAGAAAGAATAAACCTTGGGGAACGGTTAAATCCAAGAATTCATCAGGATTAGAAGGGCTAAATAAAAATGAAATTCAGATAAAAGCTTACAGCACAATCATCATGAACACGCCATATAGTTTCGCCCAACAGGTTTGCCACAGATAAGATTGTAAGTTGTGGAAAATAGTTCTGCTCTGCCACTGGAATGGTGTTTGTTATGATTACCTCTTGAAATAGTCCGCTTGACAGTCTCTCTACTGCAGGAGGACTGCAAGTTTGCAACCCAAGTTATGCAAAACTAAATTCATCAAAGATAGGGACCTATGATCAGGTACTTATTCATGGAGTAAATAACGCATCATAGTTACTGAAGATGGGCAGAACAGAACTTTTTATTACACTGAAAAGAGCAGTTCAGCTACAGCTCCATCAATATATGGTTAAAAATTACTTCACATTCGAAGTAGGTAGAAATTACAATTGCTATAGCAGTGCACCATAATTTCAGTTCGAATTGAGCATTCCGGATTAAATCAGAATACCCTGGTGAATCCCCTTGGTTGGAAAATGGATATTATCTAGTAGTACCTAAAAACAGCATGAGTGCTGCAAGCATAAACCTCCCTAGCTCCTTCTTGATGTAATAGAGCAGCTCCTTTTGCAATGGTTCCTGCAAAAGATGCGCTATTAGCTTAATGTCTACCCGTGTGCATAATGAACAAGATGTGACATAAATGACACTAAATGAACAAGTCACTAGGGAAGGCAGACACGTAATATTGAGTCCACAAACCCAAATCAATATCTTAGATCATAAAAGACCACAGAGTACTCAAAAGGTGCAAATGGTAGTATAGTCTTGTCCATAATACTTTAACTACTGAGTTATGGTATCTCCACCAACTCTCAGAGGCGTCCTCCTTCAGTATAGATAAATACTCCATTAGGAATAAAATTTTAACATCTCAGAGCCGCAGCTTGAATTCTTATAATTATATTCTTTATTCATCTTATATCTTGTTTGAGCATGGTCTATTGAGTTACACTTAATATTTGGTTCAACTAAATTGTATATTAATTTCAGCAGACTGAGAAGGAAAAAGAGTTTTGGATCTTGAATGATTTACAACCTGCAGTATCAATCATGTCATCCACCATCACGGCCACTTTTCCCCGAACATCACCAATCAAATTCATCACCTGCAATATTTGAACAAGATGCCAATTCTGTTAGTGTCTTAACAGACTCAGGAAACAAGGACATGCAACACACAATTTTTAAAACTGAGGCTTAAATTGACACTATATTCTTATGTTTGTACTAACAAAATTTACAGTTCATTCATTTCCCTCATCTTTCTGCAAATACGTAAGTGTAATCAATACACTCAAGAACCATCAGCATAAGGTTCGCTAAGAAATGCATAGAATCTCAAAGGAATTGACCTCAGCAACATTGTGTCCTTGACGCCTTTTATCCACAATGGCCAGAGGAGCATCAGATAACTTTTTGGCAAAAGCTCTTGCTCTAGCAACCCCACCAACATCAGGTGAGACCACGACCAAATCATCTGTTCTGATTGTCTTGCTGGCTAGATAATCAAGTATGACGGGCTGCAAAAGAAGTCAATAATCATTGTAATACTTATATGAATTACCAAGAACTTGATGTGATTTATTGAGATGCAATGTAATGAGAATGCCCTTTTTGTGGAAATAAGATTCCAATCCAAATCAACAGATACTTTAATTACTTTAATTGTATAATATGTTGCTTTACGATATACTTCAAATAGTTTAATAATTTTCTGGCTAATTGTTGTGCTGATGCTCAGGCAATGAGTTACCTGTACTAGCATAATAGCATGCTATTTTTATTAAAGCAAATGTTTAGAAGGTTCCTTTACCTGGCCATGCACATGGTCCACCGGAATGTCAAAATATCCCATGGATTGTCCAGAATGGAGGTCACACGCTAGAACCCTGTCAGCTCCGGCTTCAGTAATCAAATTCGCCACGAGTTTGGCCGCAATCGATTCACGCCCTTGAGTCTGAATCAATACATATTGATAATGAGATCAAATATGAAGAAAGCAAAATGATTCACTGTGATAAGCCACTTACACGTGGCAATAGAGTATTTATTATATTCATGCATATATATAAGTATGTGATGACTAGGCTGTCATCAACTCCATACTGTCTTTTGAAATGAAAATTTCTGATATCTAATACCAATTTTAGATTTTACCTTTCGATCAGCCCGGGCATATCCAAAATAAGGAATAACAGCAGTGATATTTTTGGCTGATGCCCGACGGCAAGCGTCAATCATTATCAAAAGCTCCATAAGATTCTCATTTGCTGGAGGACATGTAGGTTGCACAAGATACACATCACATCCTCGAACACTCTCTTGTAACTGAACATAAATTTCTCCATCAGCAAAACGTTTGATCTTAATCTTTCCAAGCTCCAGACCCATATAGCAAGCAATTTCCTGCATCATGAATCTCAATAAATAGCAGTAAAATGTATTAACAAATACATAAAAGGAAATAAGGAAAGGAGACTTGAATGTCATAATGATAACATATATACCACATTACAACAACAACAACAACAACAACAACAACATAGCCTTTTAGTCCCAAGCAAACATATATACCACATTATGAAAAATAAAAGTGGAAACAAGTAACAACAATAAAAATTTGTCAAACCATTTTCTAAAGGTAGATTATGATTCGAAAAATGGAAACGAGTTAAAAGATATGTAAGTAAACAATTCAAAAATGTCATGGTCATTGATTCTATGAAGACATGATGAGTACAATCTCAAACACAAGTACAGATTCTCCATTTCAATGGAAGGTTTAGCTCCCTTACATTTAAATGTGGCACTTTTAGTAAGGAAAAGGACAGAAAATGGGAAAATGAGAACCAATTCATCACATTCCTCCTTTGTACAACATGCGAATAGAACATCAGAAAATGATTCCACCACAAATAAACATCCTGTATAATTCTTCGTAAATGTAATAGAACATCAGAAAATGATTCCATAAAATAGCGATGCACCTCATAGTTATATTCATCAATATATATATATATATATATATATATATATATATATAATTTTCTCGGATTGGTGGTTCAAATTCAAATAGAACCTTAATAAAATCCATAACTGCAATAGCATCACATACTTATAAGATAACCATTTTTTACCTACCAAATACTAGTATCAAAGATAGAAGGGAATCAAACTTCACGCATGAAGCTCCAAACAAATTAAATCACAACAGACATAGAGAGCCTTTTCTGGAGAGATAGAGGAATTAGGCCAGCAGTAAATTGCCAGAACATTTATGCTTTTATGTATTTGAAATGCACTTTGTATAACTTGAGAAAGGGCCGCTTAGACTTCCTATCAAATCAATGCAGCTGTAGAATAACTAATCTTTATTTTAGAAAATAAACGTTGTGGACGCTGCGTTAACCATTTATGTATGCCCAAACAAATCTCACTAAAATTAATTTGCCATGTAAGCAAAAAAGTCCAATATCAAGCGGCAAAAGGAGGATGTAGTGACCTGAGATAGAGAAGGATTGGCAGTGCCGGAGAAAATGCGAAGCCGCGTATCACTTTTCGGAACTGGCGTTCCATCTAAGTAATGGGTGGGGGCCGTCAGGACGGTTGGGAAAGATGCCGCCGCGTGTCTGTTATAATCACGGCCAGCAGTTATGGGTTTCCCGTTGTCCTTGCACTTGATTGACTCCGAAGAGTTGTTACATCGCTGCAAAAGCCAACAATTTCACAACTACGCAATGACCACTACTTGGACACAATTTAAGAAGGATGCTCACAACCAAGGACTTGGCATGAGAGCTTCTGTGAAGATCCGTTGGGCAGCTTCCGAATAAGGTGAGAGACGCCATTTTTCTCGCTAATCAGCTCAGCCTTCTTTCAGGGGTTAGGGTTTTAGAGCTAATTTCCACTTTTCATTTATTTTTCTTGCTTTATACAACACTCCTTAGTTACTTCTCCTAGCTGCCACATAAGTTAGTAAAGACTAGTGAGGAGCTCATATTTATTTTAAATATTTTTAAACTTTATTTTAAATATAATTGTTAGATTTTTTGGTTTGGTTTGATTAATTTTGAAAAAAATGGCATGGTAAGTTGTTAGTGGGTATATATAATATTTAAAATAAAATATCTAAAATTATATATAATATTTAAAATAAAATATCTAAAATTGATTTGATGTAAAAGTAGGAGAAAGATGATGATGAACAGTGAATTAAGGTTGAAGTGAATAGTGGATTAAGGTTGATGTGGTGTGTATGAATGATTGATTGATATTATTTAATTATATTGATGATAGTCGGGTTGAGTTAAAATTGAGTTAAAAAAAGTGGTCGAGTTAAAATAATTAAATTGAACTTGCAATTTTAATTTTAAATTAATCCCAATCTATGGTTGTTAATGTACATAAAATAGTGGAAAGAATCCAAACTTTAAAGTAAATTTTTTTTTTTTTTACAAACTAAAAAAATCATCCAATTTTTTTAAACACTAAAGTAAAACTATTTTTTGGTTTTTTTTTTTTTATAAATTAAAATCATCCAATTTTTTTAAGCACTTTAATATCCCTATTTAAATGTGTTAGGTCAAATGGACTTCACCCGGGCTCCTTCAAATTCAACAAAAGGGATCAAAGATACACAACTAATCAAGACAAAAGAGCACATACTCATGTTTATCTATATGCAAGAACTCTATAATTTGAGTTCTTAACTGAAATTTCACATCTCAAACTCATAAATTTCAGCACTTTAAGGTAGTGTATAACAGGAACACCACAAGTCGAATACAAGCAAAGCCAAGAACTCCAAGGCTTTTTGTTCTCTACAACTAAGTGTTCGTGTATATACTGAAAGTTTGACTTTAGATCTATTTACACTGAACCCGCTTGAATGAGAATCCTGTTTAATTAAACAATTTATGTTATGTTGTTTTGCACTTAGATAAAATAGGTCGTCATCGGGCGAACAGAAGATCATTCTATCAGTTACTTGCGAAACAAGAATCGTTGGTTAACAATCTAGATGGAAATGAACACCCCGTCCGAACGGTTGTAGTGTTAATCGTACAGTTGGTCTTGACTGATTAGTTATATTAGTACAATGTGTATATTGAACGAATTCCAGGGGAGAAGTTCGTTTTATACCGATCGTAGGCCTTGGTTAATTACTGTGTAATCTTAACCCGTAAAATATAAACAGGCATGTGCATGCAATTAATATTACTTTGATTCACTTGGCTGATATTCAGTTTACTGAATCAATATACTTAATGTCTTGGGTAATATTACTGTATGTATGATGTGCTGTTAGAATATTTACGGCCACCGTGTGCGATAGTTTGATGGTGTCCCCGAGATGAGCTCATGAAGGATTCTTATGTTAAATCTGGCCAGTGGAATTTATTCCGACATAATAATAATGTGATGAGTGGTACTAGTCTCGGTTATAGATGTCGATTAATTTAATTTTTAGTAATTAAATTAATAGATGGACATTATATCTTAAACAAAGGGAGATAAATTGAGTAATTATTATTCGAGCTCGAATATAATTCGGGAATTAAATTAGGAGTTTATTCTATAATACTACTTTAGTGGAATGTACGGATTATCCCTATTTGGGTTTGGTAGGCTTACCTATAGTCTAATCCAAATAGGAGAAGCCCAATTTAATACCTCTTTAGGGTCCTTGTTGTAGCCTATAAATACATCACATCTCTTGGAACCAAAAGCCGCCACGTAAACTTCTGAAGCGTGTGAGCCAGCCATTTAGGCTCGGCACGTTTTGAAATTATAAAAAATTTCTATATTTTTATTAGACCCACTATTTTAGATTATATTGTAATAAAATATAACAACAGACGATCTAAGGTTGTCGAGCGATCTATATATATTTATATTCAATCCCGTAATTTATCTGTAATTATTATCTCTGTAATGCCCCACTTTGATTTTAAAGAAATTCCGGTCTTTCAGAAAAATCAGAATAAATTTTTCAAAATTTATTTCAAACATTTGTGGTGTTACTCATTTATTTCAAATCATTACCATAACATAAATCATCTTAACTCCCAAAACGAGATTCATAAATCCATAAATCCTCAATTCGCCCAAATTGGGTTCCCAAAATAAAACATAACTTTTCAAGACATAACAAGGTCAACGGGACATCTCCCAACGGTATCTCAATAGTTCATAAATTCTCAAAGTTCGAAAGTGCATAAATCATAAATAGTCATAAATGTAGCGGAAGCAAAATCAATTAATAACCAGTCTCATACACCGACTACCACTTGCTCTACAACGCCGTCGTACCCGCCTTGCTTGAAACATGAATTTCAGGTGGGGATGAGCACAGTTGGAAATCGTAGACCTCACCACTATGCAATAAACATTTTCATAACATAAATAGTAAGAGATATAGTATGATCACCGCATGTATAAGAATCAATTAAGTATCCCAAGTTTTCAATATAAATTCACAGTGTTCAGACTCATGTGCACATCTATACCAATAGACTACTGCCGGTAGATGTATCGAAGGCAACATAACAAGGGTTTAATCATTGAAAAGAAAAACGCAGCTTCTCATCTCCATTTACAAAAATAATAATGGCATCGACCCTATTTTCTCAAACACTTAAAAGGCATTATAACAACTCAATGCTACCATGTATGAGAATGTTATAGGGCTGTCACAACTCAGAAAAAAAATAAAAAAAAAAATGCAGCAACCTCATAGCCTTTCCCAACATCAAATTCGAGAATCAAAGAGGCTCCATTTTACGGCAATTAATCCCCATTATTCAAACGACTACAAATCAATTATCCCGGCCCTCTAATACTCGAAGAACATACATTTTCAGAGACTATAACACATCCACATTCGAGATTCCAACATCCACTCATCACACTGAAAATCATGAATTTCTCAAATTCAATGATACTCATTTCATGAACTCATCTCAACTTAATATTGTGAACCTTAAGCATGATATAACCTTCAAAAAAACATAAATATAAGAGAGCGATCGGTTTATACCTCCTTCAATGATTTCGAAAAGGGATGAAGGAGATCGGATTTTCGGGCCTCGAACGTTGAACTCGGGCTCGGCTTGCCGCTGCTATCTCTCACGCAGTTGAAAACGGGGAACCTCCAGTAAGGGGCTGGCCTCGTCGAAGGTCTGCTCGGACGAACAGAGAAAAGCACGTCTGCTCCTAGTGCGTCTGGTCTTCCTTGTCTCCGCTCGAACAAATCGCTGCTCGTGACTTCTCCCTTCCGACAGGCGTATGACAGTGGTGCTGCGTGGTTCTTCCAGCGCTGGAAGGATGTGACAGCGAGGGCGAGATGGCGGTGATTAAAAGGCTGAGATTTATGCCGGCGAGGTGCGTTGATTGGAAGCGGGGTGATTTTTAGGAGATTGAGAATTTCTATCGCGAGGTAAATGATTTGAGGGCTTATGGAAGAGTTCTCTCGCGGCTGCTCCAGACGAATTTTTCAGATCTGCTCCAAGGGAAAAAAAAAAAAACGCGTGTGAAGAACGAAGGAGAGAGAGCTGAGGGCTTGCGTGTGTTTAAAAGGAAAAGTTGGGCTTAGGGTTGCTAATAATTGGGCTAGAAACATCTTGCCAAAATAGCCCAAAAATTGAAATTCCTAATTCACATTGTCTAACAATTTCAATTACAAAGGACCCGACAATTAAGTCATTTGGGCCGGTTAGGTGAGCTAAAATGGATCGAATTTAGCATTGACTTGGGTCGAAAGAATAAATTCAAAGTTCGGGTCAAAATGGCTCGGAAAAGAATCGAAACGGATTAAAATCGATTTACGCGATTAAACCAAAAATTGCCGAACAATTAAAATTCTAACTCAAAATAATTCTAATAATTCACACATATAAATAATAAAATTAACCACATAATAAGCACATAAATTATATCACATAGCAATTTAATATTCAAGCAGATAATAAGACGAGCAATTTAATATCAACCGGCAAATAAATAAAATAAGGCAAAATATAATAAATATAAGTAAATAAATAATAATATAAAAATCCAAAAATTCTAATAAACGAATGGGACTAGATTAGTCAAGTCATCATGGCAAAAGAAGTACTCTAAACTAAAAAAAAGAAAAAAAAAATCTAAATATATTAACGAAAAACAAAAAAATAAAACAGCTCCACTACTTTGATTTCATGGAAAATAGAAGTAATTAGTGGAAATTTTTTTGTCTCCGAAAAACATGTATTGGAGTTGACCGGCGATGATCCCACAACGACCGGCGACCTCAGGCGACCTTCCGGTCACATTCCGGCGACCGACCGACGGAGGAAGCCGCCGTGCTGGCGGTCCACGTGCCGACACGCGCCACCGGAGTCTGGCTGTCGGATATCCACGCGCAGCCCAGGGGAGGATGGTCCAGTCCGCCAGCGTGCAGCCCAGCTTGAGTGGTCCAGCCCGTTCGTGCCCAATCCCAGCAGGGAGAGTCCACCAGACGCAATGGAGACGGCCCAACGCGGAGAGGCCCAATAGACGAGGCAGCCCAAGCGGGAGAGGAGTCTATCGCGCGGGCCACACAGCCCGTGAATCCCGAACTCGGCCCACGCCCCTCACAGCCTGAAGCCCGTTCCAGCCCGCCTTTAAGCCCGCGTCTGTTGATCATTCCTGGCCCCCGAGAAGCCCGCCTTCGGCCCGCGCGTTCCAGGCCTTCCAGCCTACTTTCCAGCGGCCCAAAATCCGCTCCAGCGAGGCCCAGATGCTGATGACGCGGCCCACACACGAGGACAGCTTCCCAGATCGGCCCAGCGTGTACAAAACCGGTCCAGGGGCGGTCCAGGAGCAGTATAGCAGGTTCGGGACGATCCGGTGAGTCCGGAAAAATTAAAAAAGGTATGCGTTGAACCCTCGCTTCTAGTTCTGCTGCGCTTAGGGTTTAATTCGTAGATAATCCGTGACATGCATATTATCGCGATCCTCATAGATCCCAACACTAAGGCATGCTCATACTTAAGATTCAAGGCGAAAAATAACTCTTCAAGGCTCAACTTCCCGTATGCGCTCAGTATGTGCTCCGAGAAGGGATGCCCCCCTCGAGCTGCCCCCCTTCCTCCCTTCTACTTCCGTCTATAGGTCGCGAACCTGGGCCATTAGCTGTTCCAAAGTGTCATTCTTAGTCTGCGGATTGATGGTTTTGAACGAAGACTCCTCATCCTCTCCTCTTCTATTATGTTGCTCATTCGATTGGGCATGTTGCTCCTGCTTAAGTCGAGGTAGTTGCTCTTGTTGAGGTGGCTGTTCAAGTCGAGCTTCCACGACTTTCGCTATCATCCTCTGTAGTTCACCTCGAGTGAAGGTCGTTGTCTGATCCTCAGGTTGAGGTTGTGTTTGGGCTCCTTCTCGTCATGGCATTCCTTCCAGCAATAGTTTCCACCCCTTTTAGTTAGCGTTAAATCTAAAAACAATATGGTTATATCTATTTTTCACCTCTTTTAATCAACATTGTTGTTTTAGTCACAACATTAAATATGAGCATGTTAGGGCTAGCTTGTAAAATAATTAATATATTATCTCACTGAGACATGTATACTAATATAAATTTGATTTGAATATATATATTTATTCCTTCATATAAGACAAAATAACATTTTACTTATTCTTGTTCACCATATAATACTTACTTATTATTTTATTATAAATTTTGTTGTCATATAATGTCATTATTATTTATAAAAGTTATATAATTAGATGCAATTGCGGGTTGTCCTTGGTTAAGTAGTTTGTCCTTATGAACTCTGGTACACATATGTTGTGTTCCTACTGCCTCGATTAACTAATTTGGCTGTCGTGTCATATTAGTAAAACCTGCTTTTTTATTTGAGATTCTGTTGTCAATCACTTTCATGATTAGTTGAGATTTAGCTCTCTGAATTCACTCTATGTTTATATCATTTCAAAATCCAGAGTACGTTTTCTTTTCACTTGAATTTCACTAGTACGTACCCCGTGCGATGCACGGGACAGAGATACTAAATGAATTATTTTTACAGGCTTTGTCCGTTTTTAACTTTAAAAAGTAATAGGATTATCATCTATTTTCCACCTCTTTTGATCAACGTTAAGTCTAAAGAACAATTGGGTTATAATCTATTTTTCATATTTTTTAATCAGCCTTGTTTTTTTTGGCCAAAACATTAAATATGAGCGTGTTAGGGCTAGTTTGTAAAATAATTAATATATTATCTCACTAACACATTTATACTAATATAAATTTGATTTTAGTATATTTATTTATTCCTTCATATAAGAGAAAATAACAATTTTACTTATTCTTGTTCACCATATTATTTTATTATAAACTTTGTTGTCATATAACTTCATTATTATTTATAAAAGTTGTAGAAGTTGTACGTATTTTTTTTTTTTATTTTATGTAATAAAAAATATTTAATATACCTTAGCATTATTTATTTATGTAATCAATTTAAAATATGTAAATAAATTTAAAATTAGATAGTGTATAAATATTTTGCAAATTATACACACTTGTTTTTTTAAAATTTAATTTTGTATAATAATTAAACTTTTTTTATTCAGCAAATGCCAAAAACTCAATTCCTTCTATAATCAAGATTTTTCAAATTTGCATTATAAGGATTTATTATTTATTTAGCATACTCTACAACGAAAATATATTTTACAAGAATTTCACTATATAAAAAAATCAACATTAAAAAAATAATAAAGAAATAATCATGGTTTTCAATAATATTATTTTTGACCATTATTAAAACTATTTAATGTATTTGGTCATTATCTCTCAAATGATAAATTATATTAATTTAAAAAATAATTTATTTTTTAATATAACGAAAAAAAGATTAAGAAAAAATTATATTGACAAAGATTAATTCACCAATTTGATTTCGCCTGATTAATTAGAAAAAAAAAACTACCTAACCTGTTACGATTTTCTATAAATTTTTTGGACAAAAAGTGATTATTTGTTAAAAAAAAAAATTAATCTTATGGTTAGTACTTAAAGTATGTTGTAATATTTACTTCGACCAAAATATTATCAACATGAATCACAGAAAATCAATCTTGTAATTTATTATAATGGATATTAATCAAATTATTGTCAATATTAATAAAATTATTTAAGAAAATAATATTTTTTATCATATCTGATTTGATCTTATTTGAAAATGTGTATGTAGAAGCAATTAACGCATATATTAAAAGAGTTTCCAAAAAAATTGTATGCATTAATTGCTCTCAAATTTTCTTACTACTATTTTTAGTAAATGATTATTCTCAATATATATATATATATAAGTCTAAATATATAAGTCTAAATATTTAAGATGAATGGGTTTTCTTCCAATTTTTTATTCTTTAGGTATGCCCATTATTTTGACACGTGTACATTTCATCAGTGAATTACCTCTTTTACCCTTAGTCTTTTGCCGCGAAATTGAGGCCATGTGTGGTTTGAGCCATTTACTTACATTTGGCTTCTTTTCAACAAGATAATATCTCCAATTCTCTCTCAAACCCTCGATCTCTCTCGAACCCTCAGTGTCCATTCTGCAAAAACAGAAAAAGAACTCATCTCTCCCTTAAATTTCTTCCGTGATTATACTGTTGTGCAATTTAGGGATTTTGGTCCTCTCAAGAAGAACTGCTACTCGGATGCGTGTAAGTTTTTTTTCCCTTTAATCAAGAAATGTTCAAGATCTAAAATATTTTTACAATCTAACGTTTGTTAAGTTGAAATTATGCCTATAGGCGAAACAATATCCCCAGTTGTTTCTTTCTTAAATTCACATATCTTGAAAACCCGATTTCTGGAACATATGAGACCTGTTTGAGGCGCGCAGTTGAAATGAAGATGCTTCAACCAATTATGCCAAGTAAGAATTATTATTTTTTCTTGTTTAGAAACCTTTTAGAATTATTGTCCCAACTAACCTCGTTTTGTTCTTCTTTTTTTGTTCTTCAAAAAGGATTGTTTAATAACAATTTAGATTTAGTAAATGGTGTAAAGGTTTTTAATTTTTTTTCCCCAGATATTACTATATGATCTTTCCTAAGGCATGTGTTTAGCTCTTAAAAAGCACTCAATCCATGTAGAAACTAAATTCACATATATTGCTATATGATCTCTCCTAAGGCATATAAATTGTGATTGTTTTTAAGTTTTACACACATATGATTACTACATGTTTATATTTTTGTTCGTTCCCAAATTTGTATGTGTTCATACAGCCATATATTATTTTGGGCAATGTGAAATATATTCATGGCACCTCCAGGAAGAGTCAGCGTAACATGAACCTTCATCCAAGGAATACTGGTCAAGGAAGTATGTAATTTTATATCTTGCTCATATATATGAAAATTTAATATAGTCATATGTTTGCAAAATATATTTTGCATTTAACATAACTTTTTTATTTTGGCATTTTGAAATAATTGTTCAAATTGGTTTATTTTCTTTTCAAATTTTCAGTATTTTTTCCATGATTTTACATTATATGATGAAAGATTGATAACTATATAATGGATATTTGTTACTTCAGAGTTCTAACATAATGAAATGCTCTGTTGGTTTAAAAGTTCTTCTTATTGATAAATGACTAACCTGAATTATTTGTCAGCAATTTGGAGCCTGGAAACTTATTGTGTGGAAGTATTTTGGTTTGCGATGCTTCGTACATAAGCTGGATATGAAAATGAAGTTTTTGATGCATCTAATAATATTTCACATATCTTGTAGTCATGGCTCGAATAATTTTTCTCAATGTATCTCATGATTTTACATATATTGTTATATAATCTAAAGCGTATAAAACTCTGACTGCATTAGATGGCTTTACTCGCATATGATCACCATATGCTTTATATATTTTTTCCCTTTTTTCAAGTGTTTATGCAATGATATATTAGTTGTGGACATTTCTTTCCATATCTTTATGCATTTTTTTTTAAAATTTTTTTATGGTGAAAATGAAGTTATTAGCAAAAAAAGGCTTTTTCATTCTACATCTATTATGACTGAAGTGCAAATAATAATTTGATTTTTTTTTTCATGGTTCCTATTTTTTCAAGGAAAGAATCAGAACTATATTGTATGCCTTTTGTTGTTATTTTTTGAATTTCTAACCAAGTGAAATGCTTAGTTAGTCTGAAAATACATTCCTATTAATTAATTTGGATTATTGTTTTGTAGTTCAATATTCACTCGTGGGGATGGATCCTGAAAATTTGTGTGACTATACGTGTATGCCCATTTTTTAAAAAGAAAATAATAACATTGTTTTTTTTTTTTTCATTATATGTATTTATGTTTTCCTTCATTTCTTGTCAACATGTAAATTTCATTTTAATCGAAAATTGCGCTTCTAACGGTGTAAGTTCAAAATATCTATTAGTTCTATTTTCCAGTTCATATAATATATCACTATAGATGTGGTTGAAAAAGTTATTTAAGTTATGTTTTTCTGTATTTGAAGATATTATCTATTGTTTAGTCTCCATGGATTTGTCAAGATAAAACACATCCCTAATGTGTAAATTCATGAATACGGTATATACTATTGTGAGGCTGCTATTTGGACTTGACTTCTGAAAAAAGCTACTAACTTTTGACAAACATTGGCCAGCGTTGTGTTCATCCGAAGTATTCGTTTATGTAACGAGGGTAAACCATTATACGAATGGTGCCTTTTCTTTGGAAGAGCACAAAGTATTAGTTACCTACTGCAACTAAATAGGCATGCTCACATTTTCTTGTAGGTATTCGAACATTGATTTATACCGAGCTAAACTGACTAATCTTCTATACGGTGAATGATTTTCTTGTAGGTATTCGAACAAAGTATTAGTTACATTGATTTATTATGCTAATCTTCTATTATACTGTGAATGATTTTGTTAGGATCTTGTTTGTTTCAGGAGTGAGTTTTGTGATAACTGATAAGTTATACGGTGAATGATTTTTTTAGGATCTTGTTAGTTTCAGGAGTATGTTTTGTGATATGTTATCCATTGTTTGCTGGGTGTGTAAACCGGCTCAACTAGGCATTGTAGCCTCTGTTTATTTTTATTTTTATTTTTTTAATTTTTATTATTTTTTTTNGGGATGATCTAATTCAGTAATTTGTTGTTCAGCTTTGAAATTGTGGTGCTTCAGTTTAATTGTGGAATTTGTAATGTGATTGGGAAATTGTTACACTTGAGCCCACTAAATGAGCCCAATGAATGGAGTGAGTCTTTTTTCAATTGTGTAAAAGTTTTATACAGTTAATACATAGGCTTTTAAGCCCATATACTCTAAGCCCAAACTTCTAACTAAAAAAACCCTAAACCCTAAACTAAATTTAAATGGGCTTTTAAGCCCAAACTCTTAACTAAAAAAACCCTAATTTCCACGCTATATTCTTCCGCCCCTTTTATCAGATCTGCGCTATATTCTTCCGCTTCTTTCATCAGATCTGAAAGTGAGAGAGGAGAGACGGTCTCGGGTTCAGGGATAGATCTGAGAGGTTGAGAGAAAGTGGGAGAGAGGAGAGACGGTCTCCGGTTCAGGGTTCTGCGCCAAAAGAGTGTTTGTGGGTGCGAGGCACCACATGCTTGGCCGCTTGGTTTCCATTTTGGCGAACGGCCAGAATCTTGTGGTCCTCCGGGGTTCCTTCGCAAGCGTTTGAATACCAAGCCTTCTCATGGCCCCATTCACTTCCGGACCCCTGCAAAGATCTTGTGGAGAACTATTCGTGGGTATGATTTCATTCGTCCTTTTTGTTATTTTCGCTCCTTCTTTAATGTCGTTACTGAAATGAAATGGATGATGATGCCATGTATTTTTTTGGCTTATGCATTTGGTCGGTAGTTTTGAACACGCAAAATCACACAAGTATAAGCATACACATTTGTTTATGTTGGTTTTATGCTTTGTTCCCATTGCTTAATGCACCACCTTACTTGGGGTTCTGATTATGAAACTAAACTTCTGAGGTTTTTGCTTTTTATGGTTAAAATTCTTCATGTTCTCTTTTTCATTTAAGCCTGAACCAGTAGAGATTAAACTGAGTTATTTACAGAGGCCTTTTAATTAGTGTTCATTTACTTCTTCATTCCTCTACTTAACAGATTATATATATTTGTTAGAATGATCCCTCACAAGACCAAGCGCGGGGAAGCTGCTCTTGCACGGATGAAGGTGTATGAAGGTATACCACTACCTTATGATAAGGTTAAGAAGATGGTCATCCCCGAGGCTCTCAAGTGAGTATGTCTAATTTCAGTTATTCAGATTATTGTATGGGTTCATCATTCTGTCTTACATAGTTGTTTGATTGTTTGATAATTAGGGTGTTGAGGCTTCAGGCTGGGCTCAAATATTGCCTGTTGGGCAGATCCATTCGCCAGATTCACATACAGATCCGGATGAACACAGGTAATTTTTAAAGTCAGCTTGATTTAGAGGTTTTAATATTATTCTTCTTATCTCTTTAATTCATTGTCCGAGAAGAAAAATGGGAGCTGAAGCTGAGGTCGTTGTGGGAGGAGCATCTCTGTGTTTGATGTGCCTTCTTCTCATGTTGTAAGCTTTGCTTTATTTGTTATCTTGGGCAGATTTGCGTTTTATGCCAAGTTTTCTTGTGTTCTACAAAAAAAATTGTATATATGCATCCTTTGAAGTATGAGTATTAGTTCATGAATCAAGGAATGTTTTCTTCATAGTTCATATGCCTTGTAATTCATCTGCCAAAATTAGTGACGCTTAATTGTGATACGATTTTCATTGACTCTGCTGAAACCTCTTATTTTCTTATGAAGGATCTCGGCGCCCTAACAACTTTCTTGGGTAATACAAAAATTTTGAACTCTTAGTTAATCATATGAATATATCAATATCATAAAAATCAGCTCATTCAAAAGTTAATCATAAACACAAATCGTATTTGTATGTCACAAATGGCTTTTTGGCACTTGAATTTGAGTTGGTATATTCAACAGTTTATCCAAACTTTTATGTATATTACTTTGTGATGCTTCCTTAACTGTTCTAATAGCTGATGTGTATGTATTGTTTTTATTAGTTCTCAATATCAATTAAGAGGTAAAAGCATATTTCCATGATATATTTAGTTTCAGCAAGACTGAAATCTAATATTTGTTAAGAGTTTTAAAAGTTTAGGCACATTTTATGTTGAAGCATTCACATAATCTGAATTAAAACATGCTGTAGTTAATTGAATGTCTCTGAACATTAAATATAAGTGGCCTCAATTGGATCATGAACAAGAGGTAGAAGAATATAAGTGGCCTCAATTAGGGTTTAGGGTTTAGGGTTTAGGGTCTCTGAACATTAAATATAAGTGGCCTCAATTAGGGTTTAGGGTTTAGGGTTTAGGGTTTAGGGTTTAGGGTTTA